TGATTATCTGACACTCTTTATGAGTTCTATGATATCAGTGGTTAATTTGTTTGGCCATTTTTAGTGTACTAGTATATTTATAATAATGCAGCAAATCTACAGTGTTTTATTAACCAAGACTGTTTTTCGCGTTTTTCTCGAATAGAAGTTTCGATTGAGTACGACTCATTGGGACCGCCGCCAAATCAAGTGCGTTTGGACTAGGACATTCAAACTCGCAGTTATCGTTCAAAAGATAATGATGGTGCGAAATATGTCTGGGTTTTTAAAGAAAATGCTTTGTCACAGAATAATAGTCTGTTAAAGGTGCCAAGTATGAAATAATTTGGGGACAAAAAAACAAACCTGCATAGAAATTGGAATAATAGGTCTTTTGATTATCGGAGACGCATTTCAATGGACTTGATTACGGACAATCTATGACTTAAATTTCACCAGGAAATTCCGCAGTGTGCTCTCGCAATCGAGGACTTAGTCATTTTTACAAGATTCGCCATTTTTGATGTCACGTGATAACTATGTAAACAATGACTGTCCAGTTTGTGCGAACTTATACTTAGTCTTTTGAAATATATAAGCTAAATTACTCTTCTGAACAAGACAACAGACAGAGAATGATTTATTCGAAAACGTCACAAAACCCTTCTCGCTACCTTAATGACACTTGCTCATTGCTTTTCAACAAAATGCAATTTGGGAAAACTCTCCTCCCAACATCTAAAAAAAATCATTATGTTTTACTAGTGTATATCTTGCATAAGGCTTGTTGTGGTGCATTCAAACAGTACATTATTGTTTTAGTGAGTGTGTCTGTGTGATTTGCCATGTCTTTGAATTCAGCAGGCATCAATTGCAAGCTAAGGTGGTGGCAATACAGCATATAGTACAAAATGTCTTACTTTTAGCTGATTTGTTCCAGTCCAAAGTACTGTGAACTATTTAATTATTCACTCATTTTTAATTATCACTATTATTGTTAATAAATTAAATCTGCTCAAATTCAATCCATTAATATATGAAGTTGCATTACAAGTTATTAACATACGTATGTATCCGTAACGCCAGCGTTTCGTAATTTTGCGGTATTTTACGGTAATTGCATCCTACCATATTAGGAAATGTGAATTCCAAATATGGATGATTATGCACGTAAGCGTTCCCTAATAATACAAACAAACATGGCAGCCCCCAGGACAAATTTACTACATCTGTTCTAAACGTTTTGGATTTCGACATTCCTTGCGAAGAAAAAATGATGATAAGGTTATTACGAGAATATCGTAATCATTTGATACTTCCGTTGTACTGTCATCGTGCATACTTTTCGGTATTTTTGTAATAACCTTGTATTATTTAACTGTTCTAAACTTTTTGGATTTCGAAATGATGTATCCTTTGGAAGAAAAGATAAAGATAAGGTTATTACGAGGATACCGTAATCGTTTGATACTTCCGCTGTACTGTCTTCGTGCATACTTTTTGGTATTCTTGTAATAACTTCATATTATTTAACTGGAAAATAGTGAAATTAAATCCAAGTGAAAATTAATACTTACCGGTAACAGTATCAGACCGAATCAATGAAGTCCAAGTGGAGACAGCAAAGATAATTCTAACCTTCTATTCCATGATTTTGAAGCTTTGGAAGTACCGGTAATGGCAATAAACTGTGTAATATATGACTGTAATATGAATATAGCTTGTAAAACAAATTGCTAGCAGCGGCATGAAATCAGTGTTTTTGCAGCATTTTTCTGTTTATTATAAATAAGACCGGAAACTATATGAAACTGCAATGATCCATTTTTATAGCATCACTCCATGACCTCCTGTATTGCACCAGTGCATAATGGAAAATATAATTTGAACGACTCGCTCCTTGTCTACTGTGTAACTATGTAAACACTACTGGATGTGTTGAACCTTTGTGCTAATGTTATTTGTACATCCTTAATGTCTGCCTTGAAAGCATGAACTGTGACCAGCCAATTGATTCAGATAAACCAATGACAAATCTATTTTGAAAACAAGCATGTCAATTTAAAACATTTTAGACAATAATTACATTCGAACCTTGTGCAACTAGTAAATTACAGGGGGGGGTAGCGTCAAAATTGTATTCTAAAACTATTTATGATTTCATTCAACAGTAAAATACAGCACTTCATGCATTCATCAAAAAAAGCAATTTTGCTAAATCTCGACCAGATATATCACCATTGATTTGCATACTGAAATCCGGTTTTTACTTTTATGCACCTGGAATCGCTGTTTAAACAGCATAACTCAACACTCACGCCCGTGTTTGTGTACACTGAATACTGAATCTCACTTTATTAAACTAAAACCACTGAAATTAGTCTTAAAATTGAAAATTTATAACAATGTAACTTTCAATGACAGCATCATCCCCACCTTTCTTTGCAGTTCCTTGGTTTCCGAGAAAAATCTCTGATTTGGATAATTTTGCCAACAGAATTCTAGGATATGGATCAGAACTTGATGCAGACCATCCAGTAAGTAACAATTGTAGTGATTGGTTAATGTAGTTTGCCAATAGAATTCTAGGATATGAAGCAGAACTTGATGCAGACCATGCAGTAAGTAACAATTGTAGTGATTGGTTAATGTAGTTTGCCAATAGAATTCTAGGATATGAATCAGAACTTGATGCAAACCATCTGGTAAGTAACAATTGTTGTGATTGGTCAATGTAGTTTGCCAATAGAATTCTAGGATATGAAGCAGAACTTGATGCAAACCATCTGGTGAGTAACAATTGTTGTGATTGGTCAATGTAGTTTGCCAATAGAATTCTAGGATATGGATCCTAACTTGATGCAAACCATCCAGTAAGTAACAATTGTTGTGATTGGTCAATGTAGTTTGCCAATAGAATTCTAGGATATGGATCCTAACTTGATGCAAACCATGCAGTAAGTAACAATTGTAGTGATTGGTCAATGTAGTTTGCCAATAGAATTCTAGGATATGAAGCAGAACTTGATGCAAACCATCTGGTGAGTAACAATCGTTGTGATTGGTTAATGTAGTTTGCCAATAGAATTCTAAGATATGGATCCAACTTGATGCAAACCATCCAGTAAGTAACAATTGTTGTGATTGGTCAATGTAGTTTGCCAATAGAATTCTAGGATATGAAGCAGAACTTGATGCAAACCATCTGGTGAGTAACAATCGTTGTGATTGGTTAATGTAGTTTGCCAATAGAATTCTAAGATATGGATCCTAACTTGATGCAAACCATCTAGTAAGTGACAATCGTTGTAATTGGTTAATGTAGTTTGCCAATAGAATTCTAGGATATGAAGCAGAACTTGATGCAAACCATCTGGTTAGTAACAATTGTTGTGATTGGTTAATGTAGTTTGCCACTAGAATTCTAGGATATGAAGCAGAACTTGATGCAAACCATCTGGTTAGTAACAATTGTTGTGATTGGTTAATGTAGTTTGCCAATAGAATTCTAAGATATGGATCCTAACTTGATGCAAACCATCTGGTAAGTGACAATCGTTGTGATTGGTTAATGTAGTTTGCCAATAGAATTCTAGGATATGGATCAGAGTTTGATGCAAACCATCTGGTAAGTAACAATCGTTGTGATTGGTTAATGTAGTTTGCCAATAGAATTCTAGGATATGGATCAGAACTTGATGCAAACCATCCAGTAAGTAACAATTGTAGTGATTGGTTAATGTAGTTTGCCAATAGAATTATGTTATGATATATAATTGTATGATAAATATATGCAAATTTATGTTAATTACATTAAATGTAATTGGCTATTTTCGCTTACTTAGGGGTTCACAGATGAGGTATACAGAGCTCGACGAAAGGAATTTGCGGACATAGCTTTCAATTATAAGCAGTAAGTAATAACATGACTTCGCATCCAGTATTGACTGCCATATTTTCATGTGACACTAACTTAAGTTTGCTTGCTTGCACCTACTATTTAAATATGGGTGGCAGATATATCACATTTTATATTATGAAATTTCGAAGTTTCAGGGTTATTAATTTTGACAAATGTATATATTTTTTATTAAGGACAGTGTCTGACAGTTATGGAAAATATTTGCATGGGAGCTCATTTTATGCCTTAAACTTTTAAATACAAATAGTAAACAATTAATTC